TATCCTTTCTTTAAATTAGGCCTACGTTCAATTTCAATAAAAATCAGGATCGATTCCCGTAGAAACGACAGGTTGGCAGGTCAGGAACTTAAGTGTTTGCTTGCCTTTCGTTTAAACCATTTCAACTTAATTAAAAATAACAAAATGGGTAAAAAACGTTGCCTATGATTGACATGTATCAAAATTCAAATTAATTAAATAATTTAAGGCTACAAATATGGTCGCTCTTTTACACATTTTCACCTGTTTTAAGACTACCTGTACGTGTAAAACGCCGACCGGTCGGTAGTCGGTAGGGTCGGTATTTTTCGTAAACCCCTTTCCCATAGTTCGTTGTTAATAAATATGAACTAATCCTAAGTCAGTATTGTTGTAATGTTTGAAAATATAGTGGTCGTCTCCATGGTAACATTACATATTGGCATTGTGGTGTTAGGTAAAGGTCCTGTACCATCCCATGGTACACATAACATAGTCAATTCTTCCGGGTATTTGACAACAAGTCTAATGAGCACTCCTATACCGACTATAAACAGACATATAAGCACTGCTATCCCTCTTCGACACAACAATTCAGCGTTCGTGAGTTCACCAGTGTGTTCAAGTTTTTCTAAATCAATTGGTGCATTCTCTACATTGTATGAAGTTGAGAATTGTCTGTTGAGTCTGTTGGACCTGATGGAGTTGCCACTCTGCTCAAAGCTTCTTTCTTTGTTACTGAGTAGTGCTGAAATATAAAAGTGTTTTCATTTTTGAAACACCTCGTAGTTCTGTATCAACAACAATAGCTTCATAGCAAAATTTTGCCACATTTTTGTTCTATTTTATCACCTTAGTTTCAATCAATTTCGTCATATCGTGTTATATACGATCGAGTGGGGATTTGTGAAAAATAAATTTAAAAAGGATCGACTGGCCCTATGGGGTTTCATGGTATTTTTGGAAAGCTATGCATCGCCTCTACAACTTCCACTAACCCCCCTATCACACCAAACTAGTTCTTACCCGTTCTTGCCAGTCCTACGAAAATGTCGTAAAACGGGCTCAATCTGGCTGCGGTCGGGATATATGTCTAAAATAATTAGCTACTTCGTTCATAAACAGTCTTCAATACGTCCATCTCATTCGCAGTTCGTTCAGGTCGCACCACGTCGGTGTGCAACGTAGTATAAACCGTCCCTTAGTCTAGAAGGTCATCATGACCTGATTACAGAACGGTATGGTCGCCATCGAATTTTGAATCCATTCAAAATTCTAAATCACATACCCCGTCCGGGAAATTCCATGAAGTTCGTAAACTGACCGTAGAACGTTGTAGCTACGTTCATTCAGTTCGCACACAGTTTAAATCCGATTCGGCAACGTTTTGACGATCACCAGAAAATTTTGAGCATGCTCTAAGTGCTGGAGGACCTACTCGTTCTAGTAGTTTTATGAAAATTGTAAACAGATCCCAAACGTTTCTTAGTGGGTTCTTAGTACGTCAAATCCGTTCGTGCACAGTTTAAGCCCGTTTTCGAGAATGTATTGAGAACTAGTTTGGTGTGATAGTAGGGTTAATCAAAAGTTCTGAAAATGGTCCCGATGCCAAAACGGGTGCTGAATGTTGATAAATATATATACGTGCTATTAACAGTATTTAAATCACCAACAACATGTTTTGTTTTACCTGTAGTTTCAGATGCTTTACTCGTGTCTGGTGTTTTTGTGTGGTTGGAGATTGTGTCATCATCTGTCATCACCCCTGCTCTCTCCAAGGCCTTGAACACCAGAGAATCCACATGGAAAATGATTTTACTTATTGCAATTTCGAAGGCACTACACCAGTATCCGTATTATAAACTGGCCAAATCAAAGATGTGACGCAATATCTCAATTAAATTAAAAGATCTGGTTGTCCACGAATGCAAGCGGTTGATGTTTAGAATAGTAAGTTAAAACATACCAGTTTTGCTGCCTTGTCCCAGTCAGTGAAGCATACTATGAGAACTACAGTAGTTGATACAATCATAAGACCCAGAGTTAAACCCCACCACAGACCTGCAAAGCAACATAAAATGAAACTTATAAATGGCTGTATTATGACTGTACTTCGTATTTACAGGGTGGACCAAAAACTTGTCCCTTGTGATTAATCAAAATTTGATCAAATATTGATATGAACATCTTGATCAAATGCGAGGTTGTGTCAGTAAAACTATATTTATAAAAATTTCTTGGATATTAAGAACTCTTCATATCTGCATTTATATCCTACCTGTTGCCCTCATATCAGTGAGGAACATGAGTGGTATTCCTATAGGAAGAGCTATGATATAGTAGCCTATAAACATTGCTATTGCCCCTGGTAGCTGCCTTCCTGATCCTCGTATTGCTCCCTGCGCAACACCCTGTTTTCAATTCAAGGACTACACGTCAATACATTTGTCTAAGTGCTTAGGTGTCAAGTCGTTTAGTGATAAACGACTCAGCAAGCTGAGCATCTCACCCACGCTGTTTTTATTAGGGGGGGGGGGGGGGGGGGGGGTGTATGTTATACTTTGATGCCCACTTTCAACCGTCTAAGAGACGATGTGGGTGTCTCATTTTTAGGTATTGTTTCTTTGCATTATAATTAATAAAATGAACAGATTTCTTGAAATTACACGATGTTTTGTTCACAATTTAAAGTACATACTGTGTGAGACGATATATTTGTTAAAGAGAGTTCATTTAAATGTCAATACTTACGCAGGTACCATCAAATAATATAAAAAGGGCAAGAATCGGAAGTAAGTTGGCAGAGATCTCAATCACCTCACTGAAAATATCCAGAACAAAACAACAATATAGGACATTTTGATATCATTCACAAAATCTAAAGCATGTCACACCACGCAAAAAGTATTGATAATGAAAATTGATACATAGCTAGGCAAGGTGTGTCCGATTCCAGCCAATCCTAACACAGTATTTCACATATAAAACAGAGTGTGAAATAATCAAAAACACACTCAAGGTGACTAGTTAAACAGTTGTCATTGTGATGAATGGACTTCTCACATTGAATTTGATGACTTGCCAACTTGACCCTTGCAAAAAAAATTATTGAAAATATGTTATTTTGTGATCTCGTTCCTTTTAGATGATTTTGTAGAAAATATTCAATGTGTGAAAAGAATTTAGCCCAAGACTCAATGCATTGTAGCTGGTTCATTCCACTCATGCGTTGTTTCCTAAAGTTTGCATTCCCGCTACGTGGTCATGCAAAGATTTGGAAACAACACCCTCATGGTATGCTTCAGCAAACAATGCAGTGAGTCCAGGGCTTAAATAATCTTACGTATCGTCTGTGAATGCTCTGGGTATGTAGTAGCGTAGTGTTAAGAATAAAATACTTATTGTAATGGTACATCCCCCTGTAAAATAAATGTTATAATATTAGGTACAATCGAGACACTAGTTTTACGTCTAGGTGACTAACTTGCGTCGGGTAGCATTGCAAAGAAAAAACTTCCCTTAATCTTGAATAAAAAATATATTCTGTGGATGTTCCATTGAACCTTTCGGGAGATGAGTGGGTGATGAGCAAAGAACTCGGATATGAAAATGGCTATCTAAAAGACACACACAGGTGTAGAGAAATACATAATAAGACAAGAACACAAATGTGTACAAAATGTCCCCACCAATGGGTGATCCCGTCAAATGGTTATCCTGAAAATGAGTAGACAAGATTTTACCAACACAATTTGAGGACGAAAAATCCAAAATGGCCACCTTAAAATTTATCCAGAATGCCAAAAATTTAGTCAGTCCTAGATTTTCATACAAAGAACCACCCCTGAAAATTTGAAATTGATCCGTCGCACAGTTAACCAGAACACATGTAACCAAGACTTTACAGACAAGATTTCAGGATGGAAAATACAAAATAGCTGCCCTGACATTTACCCAGAATGCCAAAAAACTAATCTGTTTGTAGATTTTCATACTAAGAATCATCCCTGAAAATATGAAATTGATCTACCAAACGGTTCACCTGAAATCGGTAGACAAGATTTTAGGACAGAAAATCCAAAATGGCTGCCTTAACATTTACGCAGAATGCAAAAAAACTAATGAGATTTAGATTTTCATACTAAGAATCATCCCTGAAAATCTAAAATTGATCTACAAAACGGTTCACCTAAAAATGCGTAGACAAGACTTTACAGGCAAGATTTTAAGACGGAAAATCCAAAATGGCTGCCTTGACATTTATCCAGAATGCCAAAAAACTAATCAGATCTAGATTTTCATTCTAAGAATCATCCCTGAAAGTTTGAAATTGATCTCCAGAACGGTTCACCTGGAAATGCGTAGACAAGACTTTACAGACACGATTTTAAAACGGAAAATCCAAAATGTCTGCCTTGACATTTACCCAGAATGCTAAAAAACTAATCAGTTCTAGATTTTCATACTAAGAATCATCCCTGAAAATTTGAAATTGATCTACTAAACAGTTCACCTGAAAACGCGTAAACAAGACTTCACAGACAAGATTTTAGGACGGAAAATCCAAAATGGCTGCCTTGACATTTACCCATAATGCCAAAAAACTAATCAGATCTAGATTGTCATACTAAGAATCATCCCTGAAAATTTGAAATTGATCCACCAAACGGTTCACCTGAAAACGCGCAGACAAGACTTCACAGACAAGATTTTAGGACCGAAAAATCCAAAATGGCCGACAATAAAAAAGTCTTTATGAGTTTTCGCTGATTTCTTTTTACAAAATTATCACATATAAGTACTGTTAACAATAACATAGGCTTTTACAACAAAGTACATCTGAAATTATTTATAAAGCTACTAAATAGTTAAAGTATGAAAACTCAAAAACACCATTCAATATGATACAAAGTACTATCGCGCGCTCACTTTTCTTAAGACATTCAAAATGGCTGACATGACTGAGCTTACAGGTCCAAAACCTAATCAGATCTAGAATGAAGTGAGCTGAACAAGATGTTAAAGTTTTAAAAGCACCAACTGTGAAGCCGTTTTTCTTAAAGTTTGTAGACAAGGATTTTAGCATTTGACTTCAAAATGGCCGACAGGAAGTAGGTTTCGAGTTAAATTTTATTCATCCACATCTATAGGCAGTCATAAGTTATCCCTGAAAATCTGAAGGTGATATCTGTAGCGGTTTTGGAGAAAACTCCCGGACGTACGGACGGACGGACAGACGGACGGACAGACAGTCGGACGCGCCTAGGCCGACAATATGGCCCCACACTATGTGGTGGGGACATAAAAACACTCACAGACCATGGTAGTGCAAACTCTGTAACTATGGACAGCATGGGATGGGAGATCAGATCCCAAATACTGCCCCACACGTATACTGCAAGCTATGCTAATGCCCAGAGGAACCTACCGAGGGAATAGAAAGAAATGTTAACTTACCCCAAACGACTCATTTTGTTCGATTAAATTACAAGCCTTGGGTAATGGAGCGATAAACTAATGGGATGGAGTAAACCAGATAAAGTTCAGATTAATGTGGAGGTTCAATTCTTAATGTAAGACCCCATTGAGTATTGATTGAATAATACATTTTTATTTAATGACAATTTCTATTTACCATGTATCCCAATGCTTCAATTTGGAAGCATATAGACTGTGCACCAAGATCACTTTCTCCTAATATACCTGTCAATGTAACAAAAAATATTTAGTTATGTTGAATCTCTTTCATTTTATTTTTCGGTCTTAACTACTATTTGTGATTTTGAAATGACCCTTACTCCAATGGGAATCAAATACGTTTATTACATGATTACAATAAAAAATTAAGAAAATCAAATTAGTTTATCATACGCACATGCGGTTGATGATGGGACTGATAAACGATTTTCTGAAAAATAACAGGCGGATTTCCTTAATATATCACTGTCTGCTTTTGTACAGACGACACAAAAACCGTGGGGTAAATAGAAAATAGTATAGCTACCTGTCAGGAATGTACCGATCTCAAAGCTCCACCATTCTATACAAAACATTAACATAGCAGGTATAGCTAGCTTCATATATGTCCCCCAATGTTGAAAAGCATCAAGACTCCAACCTATGGAACGTATTTGTAAATTGTTCAAACCGTTCATTTTAATTGACATGTATTCACTTTACTCCTAATTTAAATTACAGCATTCATGTTTACTCTATCGACTGATACAGACTGACTAGGGATACGCATATATTGTAACATTTAACAAGGCATTAATGTGCAAAATGTACCACCTGTCATTTGTTACAAACGCCGACCACCGATCCCCGAACACCGTCCACAAAAAAATTATGACGCTATTTCGGTGAAATAAAAATAGATTTTTGAAAATACAAATTCCGATTGGAAGAGATCATTGTTCGGGGTATTAACTTACCTCCCCAGGTCTCCAGAAATAGCTTGCTGACCAGTATATAAATGATATGAAGTACCATCATTAGTCCATAAGAGATTACTTGCACCCAAGCCGAGCCTCTAAAAAGAGTTTATGATCAAGTGAGCAATGAGGTTTAAATGGCATACAAATGTCTAAAAGGAAATAGATATCCAAAATAAAAAATCCTATATATAATTTTTCTAAATTAAACAATGTAATACTTTCAACCATAGGAATAAAGTTGTGGTCGTACCAAGAAGAAACATGCAAAAATGTCTCTTACTGTATGCCAAAATTCCAAACATAAATGACAACATAGTGCAGAACGGCATTGACGACATTAGCAATTCCTCCAATAAATAATGATGGAAGAACTATGTTCTGATTCTGGAGGTATTTCACAAGTACTTGATAGATGAAGTTTAGCTGCAAAGAAACATATATAAAATAACTAGAAGATGGCCAAACACAATGGGTGAAGAAGGCTCTAGAAGTGTAATAGATTCCAATATACTTTAGAGCTTTACCATCAAATCTCGCCCCGGTTATGTAGACTTAATTTATGATATATTATACTTTGCAAGCGGCAATGTTTACAAACATTGCCGAGTGATTTTGTCACTCCAATCTTTCAGAAGACGCTTTAATTGGATTTTTCTATATGTGGCGCAAATGGAATAAACGTGCATGTATTGTCCTCCATTCTAATAATCCTAAATTATAATATGTTCATCCCAGAGGAATCTATAATGAGATAATTTACAGGACAGTGAAGACATACATATACTGTACTTACAAAAAGTCCAGGTATGAAGATAAGTAAGTATTCTCCTGCGCCCCTTAAACGATAAAACATTCTACCTACATGTACATTGCTTCATTAATTCAGATTCACATTGATTCCAATGAAAGTTCATAAGATAAATAATTGCAAAATCAAAATATATGGACATTAAAATGCTTAAAAAATTATTCACACATAGCTATTCAAGGTGTGTCCGATTCCAGCTAATCCGAACAGAGTATTCACATAATGAACAGCGTGTGAAATATCAATAACACATGCAAGGTCACTAGTTTAACAGTTGTCATGGTGATGAATGGATTTTTCACATTGGATTTGATGACTTGCCAACTTGACCCTTACAAAACATTTCATTGGAAATGTGTTCTTCTAGTGATTTCGTTCCTTTTAAGTGATTTTATAGAAAAAAATGCAATGTGTGAAAAGAATTTAAGCCCAGAAGTCAATGCACTTCATTCCACTCAGGTGTTGTTTCCTAAACTTTGCATTCCCGCTGCGCGGTCATGCAAAGGTTTGGAAACAACACCTTCATGGTATGATTCAGCAAACAATGCATTGAGTCTTGGGCTTAAATCCTTTAACATTGAATGCAACCCTTTAAACCATGCGTGGTGAAGTTTATACTTTGCGACTTGATGATTTTGCCCTATGGCGCGTAGTAGGCCCTCAGCATTAAGATGTAATGGGACCAAGACCATTGCACCGAGGAATATGATCACCAAACCTAAATGAAAGATCACAATACAATTACAATAACAATTACGGGGTGTCCAAAAAGTAACAGGACGGGTAAATCAAAAAGTTGTAAGTAACACCCCAGTCACATTTGTCGAACGGCGGCCGTAAGTCGAACGCAGATCAATTAAATCAGTGAATTTCTGCGGCGAGCGTAGGAAAACTACGGTCACCTTGCTACAAGCGCTGATAACAATAGCACTGATGATCGCACGAAATGATGCCTCCAGATGCAGTTTATCCATGTCAGGGGCGGATCTGGGAAGCAATAAGGGGTGGCGGGCCAAATTTCAGTTCATAGAAAAAAACTTCCGCGGGAAAAAATGTTGGGCCCCTAAAACCGAAAAGTTGGCCCAAAATTTAAAATTTTGAGGCCCGTTTTCTTCAAAATTTGGCCTGAAATTAAAAAATACGGCCTTTAAAGGCCCAGTAATGACCGAAAGGCCCATCTTTTGGGGCCATAAGGTCCTTAAAGGCCCATTTTTTCTTGGCCCAATTTTTTTTCTTGGCCCATCCAGGCCCCCCCCCCCCCCAGATCCGCCAGTGCACGTTAACAATAATGTAACCACTACCAACAATGGGGAAAGCTGGAGTCATTTGGAGAACGTGCACGGCTGTACTTGTACGTCCGTGCGATTGTCGTATGATTTTAATGTACTTTCCAGTTTGCTACATTTTGCAATATTTATAAAATTTACGATTTGACATTGACATTTGATTTTTATAGACATATTTTCACCTTAAGACCAACTTTTTCGTTTATAAATGAATATAATTCGAATGTAGATATTCAAGAACTAGAAACTCAAAATCGCTTTTTGGCAAAAAACGCTTTGTTTCAAGGCTTTTTTCCATTGAAAACCGTTAAAAACGTTTTATTTCGAGGATTTTTGGCAAAAAACACTTTGTTTCGAGGCTTTTTCCATTAAAAACGTTTTATTTCGAGGCTTTGTGGCAAAAACGCTTTGTTTAGAGACTTTCTTAGGTAAAACCTTTTTATTTCGAGGCTTTCTTCCATTAAAAACTTTTTATTTGGAGGCTTTTTGGCAAAAAAAAACGCTTTATTTTGAAGCTTTTTTCTATTAAAAACCGCTGAAAACGTTTTATTACGAGGCTCTTTGGCAAAAAAAACGCTTTATTTCGAGGCTTTTTTGGGTAAAAATGTTTTATTACGAGACTTTTTGGCAAAAAAACGCTTTGTTTTAAGGTTTTTTTCGCTACTAAACCGTTAAAACGTTTTATTTCGAGGCTTCTTTTGCTTAAAAACGTTTTAATTCGAGGCTTTGTTTGCTTAGTAACGTTTTATTACGAGGCTTTTGGCCGAAAAACGCTTTGTTTTTAGGCTTTCTTCCGCTAGAAACCGTTAAAACGTTTTACTTCGAGGCTTTTTCGCGAAAAACGCTTTGTTTCGAGGCTTTTTGGGGTAAAAACGTTTTATTTCGAGGCTTTTTCGCAAAAACGCTTTGTGTCGAGGCTTTTTTCCATCAAAAACCGTTAGAAACGTTTTATTTCGAGCCTTTATGCCAAAAAAGGCTTTTTTAGTAACGTTTTTCTCGAGGCTTTTTTTGCGAAAAACGCTTTGTTTCGAGGCTTTCTTCCGCTAGAAACCGTTTATATAAAACGTTTTAATTCGAGGCTTTTTTGCAAACAACGCTTTGTTTCGAGACATTTTTGGGGGAAAGCGTTTTCTTTCAAGGCTTTTTGGCAAAAAACGCTTTGTTTCTGGGGGATGTGAGGGCTGGCAATTTTAAGATGATATTTGGTGCTTCGTGTAAATTTCATAGGTACATTTTGATGGATGAGCGTTTCATAGTTGGTCACGAACGCCATATGTGCAAAGTAGTGTTCAGAATTTTCGAATTTCGTTTACTCATACCCTCAAACTCAGAGGGAAAAAAGCCGAGATGTGACAATTTGATGTCACGCACGTTCAAAGGAAAATGTCATAGGCCTACATAGCAACTAATTATGTTGAACTCAACTGAATCAAAAATCACTAAAAAATCATAAATATGGGCTATGAGCATTCTCGACATACCAAATATGTTGTCCTATGTTTCGCTCATATCATTTTAGAATGCTATCAAAAGTACCCTAATCAATTTTACAACGTCAAAAAATATTTTGGGAGAAAAGAATGCTAAATGGGATAGAACCTGGTCCCAATATATGCGTAACAATGCAATTGAACTTAAAGGGTGACGCATATCGTTTAGTAAATCGAACGCTCGTGTCTGGTGTTGCTCACCGTTTAGTATAAAAGGCCCGATCCCGGAATAATACTCAAGGGTTCACAGGTTCGAGGTCGTTGTGTCAACACCTCTAACTGTTATATAGCATAAGTATAGATCGTCACACATTTATAAAAGGGTGATTTTTATTTTGACAAATCAAATCCACATTTATGGGTGAAGTTTCAGGATCTTCTATTTGTGTATAATAAGGAAAAATTGGCATCTAAATTTCCCCATAACGTAATAGCACACAGCTTGGCATATGAAATATCCTACAAATGAAACAAAGCAAGACCGGTTTCTAATACAAGGATTTATATTGGCTGTTGTACATGTATTCTTTGAACGCAATCACTCTTTGGATAACGTTTTCAAAATCATTATAAACGGATTACTTTATCTCAAAGACAATTTCAATAAACTGGATTTTACAGAACTCCCCTTATTTCTTAAAAATGGACTGATCCAGTTGATTCGCCTGGAGCCGCCATATTGTTTTTATACGGGATGCTAATCGGAACCCTTTAAATAATGGTATATGTAAAAACTTTTTTGTTCATAGACAGTTTTGATTTCCAAAAAGATAAAAAGGGCCTAAGGTTCTGTTTTTGTTTGTCTTTCTGAGTTCACACATTTTCTATTTCTTAGGCATCCAAGATGGCAGGTATGCGTTGGTGACGTCACAAGATATTATTACGTCATAAATGACATTCGGCAAATGTTGCCCCATACCAAATTTGAGGTAAATTGGATGAGGAATATAAAAGTTATGACCAAATTACCATTCTAGTATTTTAAAATCACTAGCTGCACTGCGCGCAGAGTCTAGTTAAACTACGAAGACGAAGCTCTCTTTTAAGAAGTGAAGTCAAACGAATGCAAAGGGTAGGTCAGTACAAACCACCTATTGCCTCTCTACGATCACAATTAATGTCATAAAAACATGTAATGAGAAGAAAAGGTAACATTAAAAAATACGCATTATTAGGGGCAGTAGCCTGGTTGTTGATCAGTATCACAAGAATCATATTTTACCATAATATCTGATCTCTCCAATACTAGCATCATTCGTTTACACTTTACATGCTCCAGAATTCCTTCGTTTAACGACCTGTATATTCGGAGCCAAATCAGGGATGTCTCTTGGGGGATTGTTATTCCCAGCGAAATCGTTGTGTTCCAGAATGACGCCCCACATGCCTCGTTTATTACACTTCCTATTTTGCATATTCGGAGCCAATATGTTGTGTGAAGATCCGGATCCGTTGAACTCGTTTCACAAAA